CATGTGATAGCTGGACATGCATGCCAGATTTTCTGGTTAAATGACAACATGTTATGCTATGCTTATAGTATTGAGATACTAAACCATGCTTATGAACTGATGCAACTCTTTTCTGATCTTATCTGTTGCCTATATTCTAATGGCACAAGTTTATAGCTACCTCTTTTACTATATCTTTGACAATTTGACCTAAACTGTAGTTTTCTAAATTTAATTGCACTGTTTCCAAAATCTTCTATGTAGTATAGAAGCCATGTTTTCCCAAATGCATGTATGTTGTTCACTACAAAAAGGGTTTCTAAGTTAGTCATGGTTAAAACCTGGCCAAGGGAGGGTTATGGCAAAACTCTGGCCACTCTGGCCAAGGGAAGGTTATGGCAAAACTACCATAGCTAATAAATTGTTAAAAGATAAACAAAAAGAGGAAAAAGGCACTAACCTCTCTTGGGTGGATCGGAGGTAAGGTTCCAGATATTTCACCTCCAACTTCATCCAAATAATCCTCTTTCTCAAATACTTGATTCTTCTCAAATACTTCAAGTCATTCTCATCACTATCATCCTCATCCTCAAACTCATTTTCATTCACTTTCTCATCCTCAGCATCATCATCAGCATCCTCAGCATCATCATCAGCATCCTCAGCATCCTCAGCATCATCAGCATCAGCATCATCAGCATCAGCATCATCTTTCGGATCATCTAAATATGGAAGACTACCAGTTAACAAAGATAAATTAGTTCATGATCAACAAATGTATATGCATATTAGAAATCTAAAAGTTTGACAGAAAATAAACAAAAAAAAAAAAAGAAAGAAAAACGTACAAATTGGAATTTTAATATTTCATACCTTCTGGTCTCTGTGTTCGTGATTGTGCACAGGATTTCGTTTTTTTCAATGGGATCTGTTTGCCATTCACTAACAACCAAGAGAAATATAATAGTTGACAGTCAATAGATAAATTTTCAGAAATCAAATAAATTATTGAAAATAAATAACAAAAAAAAGGGGAAATTGGCGCTAACGATGGCAGCCCACTGAAATATAGTTTGCCTCGCAATGAATGGTGCATTGATTCCATTTTGAGTTCTGTGAACCCTCCCTCGATTTCTTCCACCTTCTTCTTCCACTCTTCAGCCTCCTCCAGTAGATACTTGTAGGCTTTCCTCAACTTCACTTTCCTCAACTTCACGTCCCTCAGCAGCTGTTCCGACTTCACCCTGCGAAGGCCATCAGTCTTAAATATCATCGCTTTACAGTAGCTTTTAGCTTCCCTCGGATCGGAAAGTTCCGAACGATGCAGAAGAAGGAATATCCCTTTGGCCGGCGCCGGTGGAACAATATCCATCTTTGATTTCACTTGAAAAGTGAAAATCTCTAGGGTTAGGGTCCCAGACGATTTGGCATATAAAAGTGCGAGATAACTTGAAATTTTGTTTTTGCCCTTATGGTTTTCAGCCACCGGTGTTGGTCTTTTCGTCTTTTTGCCTACGTCACTTTTGCCCTTTTAACCCGTTGAAAAAAAATAGGTTAAAACCCCTTTTTGGTCCTTCAACTATTGTACAGACCCCTTGATTTGGTCCTTCCGTTAAAAATTCAATGATGTGTCCACTTAACTAACGGAAAATGATGACATGTCAAAATATTATTACAGATCAATACCATGTCATTAAAACACGTCAGATTTCAGCCAACAAAAAAAAATGTGGGGCCCACCTCCTGCAAAATACTATCTTTCCTCCTTCTTCCCATTCACACCCTGGGTTCCTTCGAAAAACCCAAGTGTGGGTTTTTCAAACCCAGGTGCTGGGTACCCGCGCCTGGGTTCCTTGAAGAACCCAGGAACCCAGCGCTTGGGTTCCTTCAAAGAACCCAAGCGTGGGTTTGAAGAATCCAGCAGGCTTGGGTTCTTCGCCTAGGTTCGAATCCAAGCTTGGGTTTGAAGAACCCAGCAGGCTTGGGTTCTTCGAACCCAGCAAGCTTGGATTCTTCGAACCCGCGCCTAGGTTCTTTGAAGGAACCCAGGCTCTAGTTTCTTCAACAAAAAAATAAATAAATAATTTCTTTATTTTTGTGGGTGTTGTTTGATGATGATGATGAATTAATTGATGAAGTTTTTGTGGGTGTTGTTTGATGATGATGATGAATTGATTGATGAAGTTTTTGTGGGTGTTGTTTGATGATGATGATGAATTGATTGATGAAGAAGGAAAGGAAGAGGAAGGAGAAAGGGAACGAGGAACTGGGTTTGAAGGATCCCATCGCTTGGGTTCGACAATCCCAGGCTCTGGGTCCAAGAAATGAAGAGGAAGGAGAAAGGGGACGAGGAAGGAGAAATAATTTTTAAAATTTTTATTGTCATGTCACTAGTTTTTGCCATGTTGTCTTTCACGTGGAGTAAAATTTTGACATGTTATCATTTACCGTGAATTAACAGTACAGGTGGAGAGGTGTTTAACAGAAGGACCAAATCGGGGTAAAAATGGTAAACAGTAGGGACCAAATCAGGGATTTTTTGAGTTCAGGGACCAAATCGGAGGTCCATACAATAGTTGAGGGACCAAAAAAGAGTTTTAACCTAACAAATAAAAAATAGAAAAAAGGCAAAAAACAAATGAATAGTAAGAGAATAATAACCTTCATGCCTTACCAACGAGGAATTGGATCAAGTGGTAAGTGACTTGTTTCAACTTAAGCAAGGTCTCGAATTTGAGATCTTGTGTACGCAACAACTCTCGCTGGGAGACTCACTTACCATTTTCAAGTACACAACGCGGGTCGAATCCGGATTAGAAAGCCCCAGGTATCGGATGGAAACAAAAAAATAAATAAATAAATAACCTTCATGCCTTGGGTAATTTGCATGAAGAGGCGAAAAAACCCGGTAAAAGTAACACTGTAAAAGGGTATTTTTGGACATT